AAACATGTCAAACTTAAGAAAACTATGGGCAGAAGAAAACTGAACCCTTGCAGCGGGGCTACCCCACACTGCAAAGATATACTCATCCGGACCGCAGTCTCACCTGGCTGTTAGACCCATCCCTGCAGCCTCTTTCCCCCTCACTACAGCAGTCTAAGAACCTGAGAATCATGTCTAATACATGAGTGGAGGGGGAAAGAGACTGCAGGGACCAGTCTAGCAGCCAGAGAGGACCGAGGTTCAGGTGGGTACATCTTTGTTCTTTTAGACCCTAGACCAGTGGTTTCAAAGTACCGGCCCACAGCCAGCTCACAAGTCTGGTACGCGGTCACGGACCCCGTACCAGACTTGCGGGAGCAGCTACACGGTCTGCATCTCTGTCGGATGCAGACCGCATAGCTGCTTCTGTGCCGACACTCAGATCTTTTCGGCCGGCGTCTTTGCTGAACGCTGGTTGAAAGGATTGATTAGTAAGGTCTGTAACAGACCTTACTAATCGCTACTAGATCACCAGGGATCGCGGCTCGCAGCCTCCTCCCTGCACCAAGGTAAGCAGGAGAGGGGGCTGTCTATTTAATTTGCATGTGGGTGTGCAGGGGGAGCGGCTGGGAATTATATTATGTTATATGTGGGGGTGGGACGGACTGGGAATTACACAATGTTATGCGGGGGGCTGGGCATTATTTTATATATGTGTGGGGGGACTGCTGGCAGTGTGTGTGTATTATTTGTGGAGAGTATAAGTGTGTGTTGTGGAAAGTAGAAGTGTATTTGGCTCCATTCGCACCTGTATCTTTAGGTGCAATTACATGCGTTTCCTGTATCAGGAATCCCTAATCTGGCCTTTACCACTCTCCCTGTACGCAATGATTGTGTATTCAGGGAGAGTGTTTTCTAACCGCATGTAATAATATCACATATCATCCATTACATGCGGTGTGCAGGAGTTTACGTGCAAATTCTGTCACTTGATCATTAACTTGAATGGGTGACAGCGGCCGCTTCTAAATGCCCGATTAGGGATTCCTGCTGCGGGAAAACGCAAGTTTCTGACACAGGAATCCTTAATCGCACCTAAACCTACAGATATGAATGGGGCCTTATTGTGTGTGTACATTAGTGTCTGTAGTACCATATCGCATATTTGTCGAGTGGCCCCCGAGGGAATTGAGTTTGAGACTCCTGCCCTAGACAAAAATGAGCACTTAACCCTTAATGCACCTGAAAGCATGCTGTGTTTTCCCATCTACACAAGCCCTTATTTTATACAATGAAATAGTTATTTTGCTACTACAAGCAGTTCTTATTATACCTCCACCCAGATGCCACCTTCTGCTCCCTTGAACTTTACAGTTAATGCCAGCCTGAAGTGGCAGAATTATAGGCAAGGAAAGCCCCACACAGTAATCTTAGTGAACTGTACCGCAACAACTGATAATATAACTTGCATATGACAACTGCAGCTAGTTCATGTAATAATACCTTCAGTGATCTATAAAACAAAACATGGTGATAAAAATGACCACATTCCCTGACCTAAATGTTTTTCTAAGGTAACCCCACCAGTAGTACAGGCGCCTTGTAGTGTCTGTCGTTACCTATGTTGATTTTTCTGTTGATTGTGGAGGCCCCTTGGATTGTAAACCAAGGCTGTCCATGGGGCCTTTACTTCTTCCCAAGTCAAGATTAAAGTTCATCACATCGTAGAGCTAAGTCCTGCCCCTCTAACAACTTTCAAATGCCCCATATGCAATGGGTAGTAGATGTTCTAGCAAATTTAAGAGCTGAATGACAGGGATGGTCCTAGCACCAGGAGGGTGCAAACCATGCACAGCCTGGGCATAGGATCCAAAAGGGGCTAACTCAGGTACTGGGAGATACCACAGGGTGACTACACTTCAGCACTGTTGTTACCATTGAAATGTTTTAGGCTAAGTCTGGTTCATATTAAACATAGTAGGCTAGATAGGAACATATCCATCCTAACAAGTTTAGTTGGGACCGGGGCATAATTACATATGTTAAAATGATGAGCAGAGCATGCTTAGAATGTGTGTCATTCCTCGAAGACAAGGAAACATTTCCAAAATTCTCAGTTTATAGTATAGTGGCAACATGAGGATGTGTGGCACATCCCATGAATGGCTATCAACAGTCAGAGGTGTAGGAAACGTTATTATCTAACACATTTAGTGCTTTTACGGTTCCACAAAAGCACCGCTTCCCCCGAACCAGACCTCCACAGTTGGTCTAGTTCCGTTAATCCCCTGTGCTAGGCATCCTCGTGTAACCAATGGACAATCAGCAAAGGGATCATTTTGCCGGTGCATTGACTTCCGCTGATCTCCGAGGAGACAAGTTTTATGTGTGCATTGATGCCTCCTAACATGTTGGTCCCAGGCACAACTAAAGGTGAACAGTTTTATCACTAGACTGGATGTTCTATTATGCCTACCTAGCTCTTTATACTTAGAAGCACACATCTATTGTCTTTACAGGTCTCATTACACACAATACCTGTACACTATTTTCCAGTGGCCTCCTTTGAGAACCTGGAAATAAATCAGATGTTCTTTAGGAGCTTTCAACTACCCACTTTTGAGCCACATAATATACAGTAAGTGACATGCTACGCCTTCATTTAGGGTTTTCTAGAAGAATGCAAGAAATATGCAAAGGGAAATTTACAAAGATAAGCACAAGGAGATACCAGCATGAATCCATTACAAATCTTTTGGTAATTCATCAAGGTATTTGTAAAACATCTTTTTGATTTTGTGAAACCTGTATTTCTGCAAACATGTTTGGCAAATGTTTTACTTCAGTTGCAATGTTTTTGAGAGGAAACAGAGGTCCGTACACAGACAGGTGATAAACTTGTAAGCAAGACATAGCTCATCACCTGAAAGTATCATGCATGTCAGCCATCATGAATCTCTATGATGAATGGAGCTGTTATATACAAACAATACCACAGTGGACCGAAGCAGTCTAAAAACATACAAAATTGCTTTCTTCTAGCAAACTCTACTGCAACACAAAGATGGGCGTGTATGACAGCTTCATCGATTACAGGGATAGAGACTCATTTTGAACCGGCATAACTATTCATTCGACAACTGGAAAGGAAAACAAAACATTTTAGAACTTCTAATAAATTTGTTTTACGGGTATTATGGTTTTTCCTTTTGCCTCTTTGTAATTTCCAAAAAAACAATCTAAAAATCCAACTAAATAAAACAAATACATGCTAAATAAATTATGACAGACATATTTTGTTTAGCTTTCTTTGGATGTTGAAAGCCAAGATAAAAAAGATAAAAGACACTGAAAATATTAATGTCACAGCTACTAAAAGTCAACATTACAAATATTTCAATATGGTCCCAGAATACTTTTTTAATATTGACGCTAAAGCAGTTTTAAAATAACGTTGAATAAAAAATGGGAAACATGAACACATGAAGGCATTTGGTTGTGCTGTTTTGAGAAGAGGGCACGTTTTTTTTCTTTGAAAACAAGAGATTTTGAATCAACAGCTATGGGCAGCACTGGAAAAGCCTTACATTGACTGCAAGTAAAACAAAAAAAAAATGAACAATTCATTAACAATGATAGGTAGGAATTTCACAGGAATAACAAATGGAAAAATTATAATTCAGTCACAGTTTTAAAAATGATTACTTCAATGCATCACCATTCACTCCCTGAAAAAGCAAGATTAAGCATTTAGAGAGTCTTGTATTGGTCCTTTATTCAGAGGAACATGAGAAAGTGCCAACTTGCTAATTTCTATTATACTGAATTTATATTGTATATTGTAAAATTCATTACAGGGATTATAATGGCTTGATGGTGACAGATTTGTTCCTTTTTTTCTACAGAAGGTAAAAACTTTCAGCACTTGGTCACACTAGGTCACGCAGAGTTTTACAATATACGGTACACTATCATCACAAGTGAAGCTGAAATCCGTTTCATTACTTGTAAATGTCAGGCTCTGTGCAGCCATAAATGACTGTGCGTACTTTGTTCCCATGTATTTACTGCACAAGGTGAAACCATGCATATTAATAAGGCTTAATGGTTCAAATGTAGTACAATTAAAGAAAGTCATCTTGGGGAAAAGGATGGAGTGCAGTTATTAGTTGTGCTGGAGTCCTTGCCTTCTGTTCCGTGGTCTCATATTAGTCACAATAAAACACACCATGAAAAATGATGCTATGTTGTTAAGTATGGTAAAACAGAAACCTTTTTTGGGAAACAAAAAGTGTTTGTCCATACAGGGAAATTTCTGTACCACAGCCACCAACACCTTTCAACAATTTAGGTACGTCAACTTTTACCGTGTGCATTTTCCTTAGACTAATAAAAAGCATGAATATTATACTTCCTCTAAACCCTTGGTTCTCAACTGGTGGGTCATGACCCAAAAGTGGGTCGTGACCCCATGTCCAGTGGGTCGCCACATGCCTTCCACTTTTCTAGGTGAAAGGATCCTCAGTCTCCACCTAGAGAACCACTGTCAGTTCTCGCACTGAGCAGCCATTAAAAAATATTATGCCCGATGCCGAGTGTTGACTTGACGTGGGGTGAGGGGGGGCTTTGGCCGCGAGGGAGCTCCATCCATACGTGCATTGCTTATAGCTCATCACATTCTGGCTCCCATGCACCTCTATAGGCGGGCATGGGAGCTTTACAAGGAATACACATATGGATGGAACTCCATCACAGTACAGTAGCCCACACTGGACCCCAGTGTGAGGATCCACTACAGTTTCTGTAAAGGCAGCCCAAACGCACCTCCCACCCACAGTTCGATCGTCTGCACAAGAAAGAGCAGTATCGCAACATGGAACATTGCAGTGCAACTTGGGTCGCGAATTAATGACCGAGGACAAATGTGGGTCCCGAGGTTACACAAGTTGAGAACCACTGCTCTAAACCATTACTGCTTTTAACCTCCATGCTACAAATCAATAAAATGAAAGCCTTCCTTTCTATACACAAAATTATTTTTTCCTTGGCCTTCCTGGATAATTAAACAGCATGATAAGGGACCAATATATCAATCAAGACTCATATCTAAAAGATCAATTTCAAAATATACACGACAAAACCAAAATAAAACATGGTCATTATACAGAATACAAAATAATCTTCCCCAAAATACAGAGGAATAAATGTGAAAATCAGCATTTCCCTTTTCACCACTTAATGTTATCTGCAAAAATGTGATGTCCATGGCTTGAAGATCAACAGTGCATAATGCTGAATTCAGAGTGCAATGGTCCTTACACACAGTACAGTCTATAAATCCATTCTTACATTTGTTGGCATCTTTTTCTTGTAGCCGAAGTGATGCTTGCATCTGACGCCTCATAACTAGAAGGCAAAAAACTTCAAGATGTGGTGGGCAACTTATTCGTATCCACTGGAATGAGAACCAGGCTTTTAGTAGATTACTACTGAAAACTGCCACCAATTTTAAATCTTGAATAGCACAGGTAAAGTGTTTGGCGACAGCCAGAGGTACTCAACTAAGCTATACTGCATGTACCCCATGAAAAAGCCAAATAACACATCGGTCACATTGTGTCTACCCAGCATGACTCTAGACAAACTAACCACAATGGCCCACAGCATTACAAGGATCCTCACAGGAACAGCCAGTACCAAGTGATTAAGCATAAAGCGAGACACCATTGCTGCTCTTGTAGCATGGCCCGAAGGAAAGGAATACTTGTCTACAGAGAAGGTGGCAAACATGTCCATGCGATTTTGTGTTGGTCGCCGACGCCTTACTATTCCTTTCACAACTCCTACAAGAATGATATCCAGCAGTAGCGCTGCAGAAGAGAAAAGAGGTTTGTTAAGGACAATTTTAAAAATAAACCTGTTTACAGTAATACAGTTTCCTGATGTTACACAGTTCCTTCTCACAAATCTGTACACAAAATAGGGATAATGTAAGAGAGGGAAATCTGGAATTTTTGCTGGAGCTGGAATTTTTTTCTCATCCTTTGCATGTGTAATGTTATGTGTAATGTGCATGTTTATGTTTTATCCAAATGTGTGTCATGTGTTGTCTTAGTATAAGAACATGAAGCACCAAAAAAAAAAAAGGCAGTGTCCAATCAGGTATACAAACAATCCAATTCATTTTGAGATATAGTTCTAATGTGTTCTGGGGGCATTTGCCAGTTGTGCCGTGTACAACTACAGACCGTGAGTGTCCTAAAGTCAGCAGTCCTAAGCCGCACACTATTTTCTAAAAGCCCTTAAGATGGGGCATTTAAAAGGCACCTAAAACGCATGTGAGCTTAGCAGCTGCTACGATGATGAAGAGAGTGCACTGCGCATGTACAGCTTATGAAACATGGAGGTGTTCACTCCTGTGGGGCGAACGTCCTTCAGCTGCGGCACCCCCGAAACTAGCCAAGATAGCAATGTAAAAAAAAAGATGAAAGTATTTCAGCCAAGCTTCGAAAAGTTACCTTTTTGGGACCCCTTCTCTGCATGGTCACTTTATTGGAAAATGTGAACTTAGTCTTTAATAAAGCTAGTTTCTTGTAAACCTGACTGGCCACTGCTTTTTCTTGGTGTTAAAAGCGCTTTCACGATTGCACCCAAGGGTTTTTTTGTGTGCAGCCTTCTCCTAATACAATGTAATCTAATTCTGCCATTTTGAAACACTTCAGCAGAATACCTTTTAGTACCAGAGCCACCATTTTCATAATTGTGTATGTATAGTCAGTAAAGGTACTCTTAACATCAAACATTTCCCTTGGCTAAATGATGGGACATGTTTAGCTTTCAAAGTTTTCATTGTTGTCTGTATATCCACTGTGTCGATTGACTCTCTCCATTTGTGTTGGAGACCTTTGTCACTAGCACAGAAAGTAATGGAAAATCCAAAATTGTGTAAGTGTCACCGGAACATTAATATGGGAAAATCCTCCAATGAGGACACCTATTGCATGATATCAAGAGGCTATCCCTCAATTTGACTTCCTCTCATTTCCTGGTGTATCTCTGGTACAATTATATCTTTTGAAAGACATGAAATAATAATTAGCAATAATTTTTACAATGTATAGGATAAACTTCTATACTGTGCAAAACATATTTTAAAGCACAGTTCAGCACTGGCTATTGTTTTAAACATAACGTTAGCAGGGTTCGACAGGCTTCCAGCAAAATTCAACCAGAGTTCAGGCTTACCGAAGCCTGCCAAATGCTGCTAACAGCTTGTTGGGTGTGACAGACAGCACCCTCATTGAAAAGGGCCCTCAACACTGTAGGTCTACAGCTAAAGAGTGCCTTAAAGGACAACTGTACCTTTAACTTTTTCCTGTCAAATATATAAAGACACCATATAATGACAATCAAAATTACAGTATAATGTATCAGCAGAAAACAGGTTAAAAACACAATCTTCATGAATGTGGGTTGATAATACAATGACACTTTAGGCAGCTGTCTGGAATGATTGTGTGAAGAAATAGAAAAATACAATGCAATCATTTTGTATACCTAAACATTGATGTTATTCAAATGTCACTTACCAAAAAGCAGGTTAAATATCACTTCTCTGCCAGCTGAACTATCACTTTTGTACAGGCAGTAGATTGTGCCACAAATCCAGGGTATTCCATGACCAGTAATCTCCACTAGCTTCATCAAAGGACGTGCACTACCCCATGACGATCCATCCCTGGCACATACACCCATTTTCTTAGACAACCAGAGGTCAACTGCCAGCAAGGACCTTAGTGCAATCCCAAGAAAAGATGGGTTTAATTTCATGCAATCCTCCTCTGGAAGCTGCTGTTGCTGAGTTGAACCGGAGTCTTTCCGGTGAACAGGACTGTCTGAAATTCGAGGTCTACCTGTAGGCGAGTCTGAAGTAGCCGTCCTGTTAGTCATGAGAGACATGAACTCGAATCTTTCGTTAGAAGTAGAGCTGCTGGTGTTGGCTGCTCTTGCGGTTCTTGGACTAGGCATTTCTATAAGCAGTGTGGTGATCCTTCTATACAGACCAAAACAGACCAAATATGTTTTTTATATTCTTAACATTCATTATCATAAATGAAGCAACAAATGAACAAAGCTTTAAATTATAACAAGGTGACGTGCATGTATAGGCAAACATGTTATTTTTGCATTTTAGATTTTAGAGTGTGGGAGGGTTTTTATAGCTCATACTTTTCTCAATATATCTGCACTCCTAGGCCTAATCCTACCCACCTAAATTAAATTATCCTAATAAAAGCAGCAAGTGTGCTGGTGTACAAAATGCACCACACGTATCAATAAAATCCACAATCACTCTGCACAAATAAAACTACGCTAACGCCTTGTTCATACCAAATGCAGAGCAGATCTGCATGAGTTTCTGCACACGCAGTGCAGGAGGGTTGTGCCGCGTTTTTGCCGCGTTTATGCGTTCCGGGCCTTTTTTGGTAAAAAAAATAATATATTTTTTGTTTAAAATGGGCTTTCAGTGCGTTCCTGGCGTTTGCATGTGTTTTTGATGCGTTTGCATGCGTTCCAGAGCAGGTAAAATAGGGCCTGCTGCAGTTTTTTTACCGGCTCTGGAACTGAACGCTGCAATGTGAACTGGAGCTAAAAATACCATTGGAATACATTGGACGAAGTTTTGCTCCGGTCTGCAACTGCTCTGCACCTGCTCCGCGCTTGGTGTGAACAAGGTCTAAATATGCCAAATTCAATAGACAAAGTAAAAAAGATCAAGAATAAAACAAGAATACAAAGTGTCCATGTTTAAATGTGTCAAATCAACATGATGAAGTGCTTCCCAACAGTGCTAGTGTAAACAGTCCAAAAATGCTTTCTATAAAAGTGCAATCCTTATACGAGATCCTCCAGAATCCGTTAATAAAGAACTTTTGGGCTTTTCTGAGTACTGCCCTCACTCACTAGATTTGATGGACCAATAATATTGGTTGGGTAGCAGTTCAAAATAGTTCTGAAAGTGTAGTAACTCCTCACTGATATCTCCTCCGATCAATATTCAAATTCATGATCATTTTCAGATAAATAACAGATGTTCTATATTAAATCACATTTCATAAATATCTCCGCTCTTCCCATTGCCAATAGTACTCAGAGAAAAAAGATAAAACAATCGCATCGTGTAAAATCCTCAAACAACTTTTATGAAAACAACGGTTATAAAAACTTAGACGCCAGCTGAGTTGCCGGTGATCCTACAAGCTGCTTTCTGGTTCCCCCTGCCTCGTCCGGAGAGGGAGTGAGGGGACCGAAAGGAGGACGGTAACCAAGCAGGCTAGGAGTGATATGTGGGAAAAACATTTTAAGATCTGAAAAGATAAGAAGCACTTTTGGACTGTTTACACTGGCACTATAGGGAAGCACTTTATCATGGTGATTTGACACCTTTAAACATGGACACTTTGTATTCTTGTTTTATTCATTATCTTTTTTACTTGTCTATTGAATTTGGATATTTAGAGTAGTTTCATCAGCGCTGAGTGATTGTGGATTTGAATTTTTTTATGCTTAAAATGTTATCTTGATTTGTTATGCCGTATCCATGATATCCATAACATGGAATACCTCGCGCCAATGCTGAACAACACTATGCTAAGGTTTAATAAGACGTGGCACCCTTGGAAACTTCTTGATTCCCACACTCTAGGTTCCTAGAGTGGCTAGATTTGTGCTTTGCCTGTTGATACTATTTTATCATTATTGACTATATTCATATATGCTGTGTGCTCTCATTGGATTTATTCTACTTACTGCAAGCTGTGTTTTCTTTTGATTGTTAAACTTGAATTTAAAATAATAAAAAGGAAAGTTGAAATACATTATGTCTCCTTTGAAAGGCACATCCAATATATAAAATAATTCTCCAGGAAGCAAAATCTACAGGAGCATCAAGCAATTGTCTCTAGAACAATGCTACAAATATCTATTCAATGCGATTATACTTTGCTTGGCCCAAAAAAAAAAAAAAAAGTCACCACCTGGATATAGCTAAGCAAATAGGTCAGAGCCTTCCATTGGATAAGTGTTATGATCTGGGGTTGCTTCAGTTGATCATGTCTAGGTTTTAGCAGTTAAGTCCCCATAAAATGAGGTCAGCTGCCTACCTGAATATACTGAATAACCCTGATGGCACGGGCATATTCCAAGATGACAATGTCAGGATACATCAGGCTTAAATTGTGAAAGAGTGGTTCAGGGAGCAAGTAACTGCTATTTTTTAGCCACCATCTATAAATGCTAAATTGAAAAATACAATCTAGTTACATAGCTGATAAAGTTGATAAAGTTAAAAGAATGCACAAGTCCATCACGTTCTACTTCTGTGTGAGTGAACCAAAGGAAAGCACACAAAAAAACAAAAACACAACACCTACAAGCATAGGCCAATTTGTTTTAGAGCTCTTTTGCGTGGGCCTTCCAATCCGGTCCGCCTGTCAGTTTTTCAGGCAGATTTGATCGGAAGCCTAATGTTAGTTTAGGGGCAGCCGGATGTAAACAGATGGGCTTCCGTTTACATGCAGCTACCCCCGCCACTGGCCCGATAAAGAGAACCAAACGGATCAGACTTCCGTTTCAACTGACCTAACCGTGCCGGATCGGGGGTTACCTGTTGTAAAAGGTCACAAGTCTATTTACATCCAATTCCTTGTAGACCAACATGGGTCTGGGAATTTCAGTTTTTATCTCTATCACAAGAAACTGGGTGGCCACAGATGTCACAATCCATTCCAATAAGTAGGGGATCCATGCACGGATCGCTTCCTGATCTGACCTTGTGAAAAAGGCCTATAGGAGGGTAAAGCAAATTACTGCCGGTTCCCATACTGGTGATCGGATAAATCCCTAGATTAACCTCCTATTTGGGCAATTCCCATAGTACTGTATATTATTCTGACTTCGAAAACTATCTAAAAGTTTTTTAATTAATCAACACTTTCAGCTAATACTACTTCCTGGCAAAGAGAGTTCCACATCTGCACTGCTCTAACAGTAAAGAACATCTTTCTCATTTTAAGATTAAACCTTTTAGTCGGTTGACTTGCGGTCACGTGTCTTCTTCATGAACCCTAGAGTAACCAATTTGTTACAGTTTATATACTCACTTTTGATAAATGTATACATTGCGACCATTTTCTCCCATAAGAGCTTCTTCTTTAGAGTGAATAAATGTAATCTTTGTTATTGTTCCTCACAGCGGAGGTCCTCAAACTCCTTATTCATTTTGTTGCCCTTCTCTGAACTATTTCTAGTCCAAGGACATCCTTCCTTCGGATTGGTGACCAAAACTGAACTGCATATTCAAAATAAAGCCAAGGCAGTGTTTATAACCGGACAGAACTATGGATTTATCTTCTGATTATATGTCCTTTTTATTATAAGGGAGTATTCTGCTAGCTTTGTCAGCTGCAATTGGTTGGTACGTCTGATCTACATGGACCACCAGATCCTTTCCATCACGCATTCACCCATTCTTGTAGCGCATTTGTGCACGTTTCTGAAGTACTTTCATGCTTCATACGTCTTTCTTTTGGCCAATGACAGGCAATATCTGCTGTGACATCATTAGGCGCAGTTTTCCTTTGAGGCGCTTTTAAGCGCAAAAACCCTTTAGAACACATGGACATGTTTTTTTAACTTGCTTTCAGTGAAGTCTATGGGGCCAAAAGCATGCTGTGCAGCACCAAGAGAAGCACCAGCACCTTTCCAAAAGTCGCCACTGGAAAAAATATTGTCATGTGGTGCGGGGTCACAGCAGAAGCAGCGCAAATCGCACTAGTGTGAACAGGGCCTAAAGACACCCTGCCACCACCCCATGCCTATGAAAATGAACATCGCAAGCGGCCCCAACCCATAATTGTAACTCAGGCTTCCATCATTTGTAAAGTCTTTGCCCACCACACTGGAAAAATAACTTGTATTTTTCCTCCCCTCCACAAGTGTTGGGGGCTCTGTTTTCCAGAAAGACATGACTGCACACCCTCCCGGCCCTGACATCAATCCAAATCCTGGCAGCAGCTTGGGAATCCCTGCTTGATCTGTAGTTACTAATGATAAGCCTGGACTAGGTAAGAACCCAGTTCGCCCAAGCCTACTTAAAACTGTGACTCACACACCCCTTTCTCAGCGGCGGTAATTGTTGTGGGCACCCCTTTGGTATAGCTGCGGAGTGGGGAATGCGCCTCTCACAACTGATTAGGTCGGAAGAAGGGGTGGCAGTCACAGTTTTGAGCAGGCCTGTGCAAACTGGTTTCACACCATGCCCAGGCTCATCACCAGTAGATACCAATGTGCCAAATCTGGGATATCAACACTTTTTTGTACAACTCAGTGAAAAGAAAATCATAATTTAAAGTGATCACCGGCTCAGGTAAGGCAGCTTCACAGGACTACCCTCCAATGCAGGGGTGGGCAACTCCAGCCCTCCAGCTTTGCGTTAACTACAAATCCCATCATGTCTCTGCCTCTGGGAGTCATGCCTGTGGCTGTCAGAGTCTTGCAATGCCTCATGGGACTTGTAGTTCCACAACAGTTTGGAGGGCCGGTGTTGCCAGACCCCTGCTCCAATAGGTGTCCAGGAATTTAACTTAAAGCATAAACAATCAAAAGGAACGCCAAACCAAACAAACGTGTCCAAATCACTTTAATGGTTGACATATAAATCATATAATGGCTGTAGGGCTGCCGCTAGCGATTATTGTCGAGATGGATTAGTTAGCCAATTATTACGTTCGATTAATCGGATAATCGGATTTAAAAATGATCGTTGGCGGGCAGCGGCGTGTCAGGGAGCTCAGAGCGGGGAGGAGAGGAGAAGAGGCATGTCATCTGGTGCGCAGCTCGGGTGGTGTGTGGTCGCACGATCCGTCTAGCACAACTGGGGTGCCATTAGAAAATAATGGCACCCACAGCACGATCGGCTGCGGTGGGCGACTCCGTGACCGTGCAGCAATCCGAACGGTTATGTGCACGATTGGAGTCGCCCAGGTGTGAACCTAGCCTCAATGGGGTGACATCTGCGTGGCACTTGCTAAAAAAAGGGTACAAGTACCTTTTTTTGCAACACACAACGTGCTGCTTTTTTAGCCGTGATCTTGTTCAATTGCACGGGTGGAATCGTGCCGGGAAACAGCGCGATCCGCCCGGCGCGACTGGGATGCCATTAGAAAATAATGGCACCCACAGCACAATTGGCTGCGGTGACTGATTCTGTGACCACGCGACAATCCGCGTGGTTAGGAGTCACCCAGATGTGAACCTAACCTCAGTTTTGTCACTCCTTTTGATTGTTTATGTGCGATCTGTAAACACTATCCATGCAGATCATGTGAGGCATCGCCGGGTGCCACCAGGACCGGAGAGGATGAACACAGAGCCTCTGACAGAAGTGTCGAAGGTGATTAAAATTACAAGTTATTTTTCCAGCGCAGTGGGGTGGGAAAGATTTTCCAGCAGTCTGATGTACGATTATGTGTGCTTGAAATGTTTTTCTTAACAGGTATGGTGTGATGGCAGGTCCTCTTTTAAATCACTATCTAAGCTGGTACATTGGTATAAACGCTAGGCATATTTTATATAGACGAACACTATACAGGACAATGTAAACCACTGAGCAATGGCTTGTGACAATGCATTATTCAAATATAAATCGAATTATAGGGTTAGTGCAACTAGAAACAATGTCACATACAAGCGACCCAACACAAAAATAAACACCGGCGATCAGTTTTAGTGAAAAGTAGATTCCTATCTATCGATGCCAGGTGCCTGCCATATTCCTCCACCGGATATACACTTACCTGGGGACAATCACAGTACCAGCTCTGATTGCAGCAAAGAGCTCATCTACAAACACGTCCCCTACTATACACGTTTCCTGATGTCACAGACGCAGCCTCCACGTCCTCACCGTGCTGGAAAACCTTTGGACGAAGTGGCCTAACGGCAGCCATGTTATGGTTGGCGTTTCCGTGTATGTGATAATGACAAGCCTTAGGGAAGCGGACACATTGTGATTGGCATATTACCCTCGGTTGCGATTGGGTGAAAGGAGCCATTTTGGAAGGATACCTGTCACCGCACATATAGGCAGTGGCCTTAGAAGCGCAACTCTGCGCCCCCTGGTGGTACCCGGAAGAGGTGTTGTATTTAGCTGACATCATGTAAAGTGACAGGAGGCTTACCTGGGAGGCGGGACTTATTTAACCACTTGCTGTGCTGAGCAATTTCTTACTATTTGCTCACACTTGATAAAATATAAATTTTTGGCTAGAAAGCAGCTCCAGACCCCCAAAAACAATGATATATTTTGTCAAAGCAGAGGCCATGTAAAATTAAAAAATGCTAGTTGCAATTTTTAATGTTGCACGGTATTTGTGCAAATGTTTATCAAACCGATATTTTTAGGATAAAATAAACTAAATTAAAATTTGGTGCACAGAAACAGAATATAATACCCAATTTGTTGGTAAAATATAAAAGATGGGGTCACGCCGGATAATATATAGATACCAAACATGTCAAGCCTTATAATTGCGTTAGCTTGTGAAGCCGCAAAAAACTTCAATACCCCAAATTTCCCATAGGAAACACTTTAAACCCTTTTTCCGCTCATCACTTTAGTGCTAACAGTGATTGATGGGCCTAGCATTATTGCTCTCACTTCAACGTTCGTGGTGATATGTAACATGTGTAGCGCAATTGTCATTTTTGCACATAGGTGCATCGATTTGTGTTTGCATGTGTATGTGCGTGCACGTGGGGGGTGAGGGACTTTAAAAAAATGTTTTTGCTTTTTTTATTTTTCTTATATGACTTACATTTTTTTTAAGTCCCCTATGTAATAGCAGATAGGGTATGACAGGTCCTCTTTATGGAGACATCAGGGGTCTTTCAGACCCCTAATGTGACCTAGGGACCCCATAGAAGCTGAGGAAGCAGAAATTTGCTTCACCAGCTTCTTATCCTGGCTCTGAGAGCCAGGGACTGTAAATAGTGACACCGGAAGTGATGTAATACACAAACTTCTGGGTCCAGTGATCGGAGGAGAGATCAGCGGCTAGAAGCCGCTGAATCTCTCCCCGATCATTGCGGGGAGACCTGCCGCGCTGGTCTCAGGCACCGCACGGGGACAGCAGTGCCCGGGGAATTCAGTGTCAGCGGCCACGGTAAAAACGATCCGGCAGCTGTGTAGACGTCGGATCACTTGTACATTAACAGCCATCGTTGGCTGTTAAAAACGATACCAAGAACACGGCAGCTGCAGCAGCCGTGTTCTTGTTTTAACCACTTCTGCGGGCCGCCGTCTATAAGTGGAAGAGGTTAAAGAGCCCCTGTCACCACATACCTTGACATCTCAATACAGGCTGGGAAGCTGTTTTAACCACTTCACTACTGGACCTATTTTTTTTTTTTTTGCACACATTAAAATAACAATTGTAGGCCTGATGATTTAACCACTTGCTGTGCTGAGCAATTTCTTACTATTTGCGCACACATGATAAAATATTAATTTTTGGCTAGAAAACAGCTCCAGACCCCCAAACAATGATATATTTTCTGAAAGCAGAGGCCATGTAAAATAAAAAGATTCTGGTTGCAAGTTTTAATATGATATATTTTCTGAAAGCAGGGACACAGGAGAATAAAATGTGTGTAGTTATTCACATGATTTTAGCGCAACTGTTTAACAAACCCATGTTTGTAGTAAAAACACACTCAAGTTTATTTTATTGGGGGATGCGGCTTGATGCGGGTCTAAGGCTGGTGGCTACTGGGATTATCCAGTGCGGAGGAGACAGAATCAGGTGGACTAAGCTCCAATGGGCAACTTCTAATTTGATCGGTGGCAGTACTTGGCCCCCCTTTGTTTGGGATAGTCCTGCATGAAACATTTTCCATTAGGGTATATACTTGGAAGGGATTGACTGTTACCTTGTGACTTATTCCCTTATTGTGGTCTCCTATGCGGTCATCTGTCCATGGTTGGAGTTTCCTCAGCAGCATATTGGTAAATACAAGTGTCGCTTCAACTTGGATTACCTCCACCTCTTCCTGAAGAAGCGCATAAAAGCACAAAACGCTTTGAAGCTAGAAACACTCCAACTACCATTATATCATCCCAATCATGTCTGGCGTATGACAAGATCTTATTTATTGTATTGATTGTTATTATAATTTATTTTGGAGTGGTATTGGGAGGTTGATCATTAACAGGGGTACTTACCCCATTTACTAGCTATTATAAAATGAAGCGGTACTCAGTTTTTATTGGGGGTGTTTTTATGAAATGTAACTGAATAAAGTTGTTAAATTTTAAACTATTCTTCTCCAGCTGTGTCATTGACACCTGAAAAACCCTGCTTAAATGTTAAGTGATTTCTAATTGGGTAATAGGGGCGTGATGCCATTTCTCAAATTGTTAAGAGTTTATTTTAGTCAACACACACACAATATCATCCCCAATTTTTGTTTAAATATAAAAGTTAAAGTCAATAGTAAAAGTAAATAGATACCAAACATTTCAAGCTTTAAAATTGCACGCTCCTGTGAAATGGCATCAAATGGTTGTAGCGCCCCCCTGAACACCAGAGGTCTGAGGTGGATCCCCAAAGGCCGGAATGGCTGACATTTTACTCTCAAGGGGAGATCCTTAGCCAGTGAAGGAATATGTGATCCAGAAGTTGGGCGCCGTCACTTTAAGTGCCTTTTAAATGCTTTATTGAAGAACAGGCAAACTAGGAGAGAGGATATAGGGCTTCAGACACCCATAGCAAAAATAGAACAGACTCCAAACTCACCATCACCATTCCCTTCAGACATCCACATAGGGTTGCCACCCGGTTTGGAATCCTGTGACCAGGTGCAAGTTTGAAAACCTGAGGAATATCGTACGATTTTCGGCGGGTTAGTGACGTGCTCGGAAGACAATTGACGAACAGGCCGGTGTGCACACTGCCCGCTCAACATTGGATTTATAGGAAGCTCTCCCCTCAGCGGGGAGGGCTTGTGGGTGCAAATCTGAGCACATGCCGGGCGGCACTGTCTTCAGTCACTCCTTCTCTCTGGTGTTCTCCTCTGTTAGTGAGAGGAAAAGACATCAGAGAGAGAGAGGGAGCGAAGGAGAAATAATCCTCCGGCAGCCTGCGCGTGGACTGGACAGCGGCTTCTTCTTCTTCTTTTCGACAGTCCTTGCCCCTCGCCCCCAGACTCGTTAGCCCTTGTGTGAAAGCAGTAAGTTAAAGGAGAACTATGGGGTTAGGGCTTTTCCCCATAGTTCTCCTAAGGGTAACAGGAGGACACAAACTAGCGTCCTCCCGTCACCCAAAGCTCAGTATACCGCGAGCTCTACCGCGGTATAATGAGACGCTGAAACGGATCCCAACAATTATGTCTGGATCCACCCAGCTGCTTGAGTGACAGCTGGCTCTGCCTATCTAGAGGCAGAGCCAGCTGTACCTGTCCCCCTCCCCCGTCCGTTCCGCCAGTCAGCGTTGGAGGATCGGACAGGGGAGGGGGGAATCCAGTCACTCCCCTGTCACGGCTCTCTGCAGTGACAGGATCGAGAAGTGAGCTCACTTCCAGATCTACTGAGCCGACCTGTGACAGTTTCATTGTCACAGGTCGGCTATAACAATGAGGATGAGTGAAAATCACTCACTTCATAGTTCTCCTTTAAGTAAGAAAAAAAAAGTAAAACGTGAAAAAAATTAAAAAAATTATCAAATTAATACAAATTTTTAAAAAATTAAAAAAAGGGATAAAAAGTAAAAAAAAAATTAAAACATAAAAAAGTCATAAAAAAGTTCAAACATAAAATAAATAAAAAAAAGTGATAAACATTTTTTTAAAAATGGATAAAAACATAAAATGAATAAAAATGAAAAAACTATTGAAACCAACCCTGCTGCCCCACCATCTGCATGCAAATAAAATCGCGGAGTAGGGCATTGTGTGTGTGTGGGCCCCCATTCCACTCTCTTTATACGATCTGCCCATCTTGGACAGGCAGATCGTACTTGCGATCATTGCAAGCCCTCCCCGTTGAGGGGAGGGCTTCCGAAAAATCCAATGCTGAGCGGGCAGTGTGCACACTGGCCTGTTCGGCATTTGTCTTCCGAGCACGTCACTAACCCGCCGAAAATCGTACGATATTCCTCAGGTTTTCAAGCGTGCTTGGAAGACAAAAAACGTGCGACCGTACAGTAGAAACGGTCGCACGCCTTCCATACACCAGGCGTATGGGCACCTTAACACGCACAATGTGCATTAAAGGGTAAGTTCACTTTCCCACGTAATTAAAATGGAAGTACCCACTCACATCTGGCCTCCTCTCCAAGCCCCCCACTATACTCACCTTTCGGCGAACATAAAGCAAATAAATCAATGAGGGTAGATAAAATGAATTACACATCAAGGACTTGTATCAGTATTTTGATCCATTGATCGATTGAACCATTTCATGAAAGTCACTTCCAGAACTTCCAATACCCATTTTCTGCTGGTGTGGAAGAGATATAATAATCAGTGAAGGTTTTTGTGCTTCTAAGCTCATATGCAAGATATGCATTGTCAAAAAAATAATTTCGCATTTGATTCATCAGATCAACAAAATATATCAACAGCTGTTTATATGGACATTATATCAAAGAGGTTTCCGCTTACACTGAGCAGCTGGTAAATTTTGTTGAAGTGACAGATTAAACCTGAAACTAAATTTGACAGTGTGTGACAAGCATAATGAAAACAGGAGAAAATAATCAGCAGAAGTTAGGATCTCATCTATTATATCTGTCTTTGCTTTGACCCAGCATTGCCTCTGCCTGGGTTTTCCAGGTGATCACTGACTGAACCAGATTTATGCATCCGGAACTTGTTGCTGAGAACATTTCTCAACATTAGGTTGATCTGACTGATCAGAAAGTACATTTGTAATGCCTCTTTGGAC